CGTGTCAGACTTGTCCAGTTTTCTAGCATGCCAGATATCCAGTCCTAGTCACAGACAAGGGGGCGACTTGCTCGTAGGCTTGTTCACACATGAGGACTTGTTGCGGCAGACTATCTGCCGACTCACCTCCGACCTAAGGTGGCTCTCAAGATCCTCTGCGACGTCAAAATCGCGGTGAAAATCGTGTAATGTGAACTAGGCTTTATTTGACTTTACCTTGAGCTTGTTTGTTTGCTTCTTCTACCTTTTTTTCTTCTTGGTCTCCACTCCTGAGGGATATGCCCGCTTCGACATCTTCATAGACAGCACTGCGCATGCCCCGTTCAGTGAACGGCATCTGCCCCCTAGTCCGTAGGGTGCCCGCCCTGCTACAGGTCATGTTATGTATGTTGACCATTGATGTTGACTCAGTAGACATCGTTGCAAACAAACAAACTTTTTAAACAAACATGAAGATCCTCACATGCTGCCCAATGAACAAGTAGGCTGCAGTTCATTGAAAATAATAGGGTTGCCAGGTCTGCGCAGAGGTGGGACAGTCAAGCCCTTTTTAGATAGGAATTGTGCAAATTTGCAAGAAAGCCCAATCAGTCTCTTTCAGCATTGGCAGTATAAAAACAAAATCGGGGAGTGCGGCAAAATGCCACCTACCTACTTTTGTTTATACAGAATGCGCCTTTTTCGGGGCAATGGGGGGCGTGAGCAAGTAACAAAATGTGTAGCTCAGCATGTGACGTAAACAGTGACGTGGGAGGGAAGCCATGGCTGGTCAGTCCTCCGGCGATTCTCTCATAAGTCGGCCTGTTCTTCACCGCTTCCCGTCAACCTGTGGTTAATGGCCTCTTTGTTTTCAAGGGCAAGGAGGGCACGCAATTCCTTGTCTCCCCAGTTGCTCATCTTTACAGTGTCTGTCAGGTTTGTGTTTCCCTCTTGCTACTAGCTGCTCGCTAATTCCTGCTATCAGCGGTTTCCTGTTTATCCACCGCCAGTGGCTCACACATGCGGCGTCATCAACAGCTCCTCCCACAAGTTTTCAACAGCCCCTCCCGTTGCGGAAGGGCACCTCGGTCTTTTTAAACCAAAAAGGTTTCGCCAATATGACTACCCTACGAGGCAGAAAATTGGGTACCTTGGATCAACTCTCCATTCCAGCTCTGTGTGTCTAAACACTCGCAGCTTGCCGGCAAAACAGCCCAACATTCGCGGAAAATCTGGCAGTGTATAAGGGGCTTCAGTCAATTCAGTTTACCGTGCATCCATCTGGGGGCCCCCTAGTGGCTGCAGGGCCCTAAGCAGCCGCTTAATTCGCTTATAGGGAGGGCCGGCTATGGTGCAACTGATACTGTTTGGCATTGGCAGAGAAGATTTACCAAATTTTTCATGGGTGCAACCCACATACTCAGCTCTGCTGCTCATCCCACAAAGGCATGTTCCTTACAAATGTTGCACCATATAAAAGGGGAAAAAAACAGGTTTTCCAACAGTATAAGATTTATTGCCAAGAAGCATTGTTACAACAAAGAAGTAATCTACCAAACACAAACTTCTTTACTTTTTGTGCTTAGTTTATAATAATCTTCTTAAGTGTTCTGTACTTTCGCATTGGCATAATAAAGATGAATCAGTTGCAACTATTCTCCTCTTTCACTTTTTCTGTTTTTTTCTGATGGTTTTCAAAACTACATAAATATAAATGTCGCATTGTTATTTACAATTATTGCATTTCATAGAGAACTTTCACTCTGGGGAAAAACAGACTATTGTTCTGGCTGGTAAATGTCAGGTTTTGGTGATGGTCATAATTCCAATTCCCACAAATTCACAACTTTATATTAAAAGTAAATCATCGCATCACCTTTTGTGGGTTTTGTGGGTGAACTACAATTCAAGATGCAGACCTTTATCATGTTGTTTTTGTATAGAAATAAATAGCATTTTTTAACCCTCCTGTTAACTCTATTGCACCTGTTAGGTGGGACAAATGAAACCCGATTTTGTAATTGACATTTCTGTCTTAGTGTCACAGGGGAGATTTAGACACTAATAATGGAAGAGATCAAGATGGTATGACGTGGAACATAGTTGTCTAGTCAGAACTCAGGACCCACCACAATAATTTACAACCTGGGCCAGATTGTTCAAAAGGTGTAATCTATATATATAAAAATGATCCAGTATTGGTAATGCTTTTTTTTTCTTCCACTGATCACGTAATCCAGCTCACATTTGTCCTGGTTGTTCAAAAAAGAACTGGATAGGATCACTCTGATCCAGGTGCACACTTTTACGGATTACCAAATCGGGGGCGCCAAAATTCACACAAAATAAAAGATCCTTAACTCCACTGGGCCTGAATTGTAACTGAGAACGAAACTAAACACTGACCAGCAGATGGCAGCAAACATTAAGAACATATGCATAGATATATACGTTTTTGATTATTTAATTTTTATCGACTGGGATAACCTTGAACATTCTTAATTCATATCCTTTTTTTAGATTATTGCCCTGACTTTACCACTCAGCTCACAGTTTATCGTATATTTCATTTCATTATGATTTTAATGAATAAAAAACTAAAGTCCTAAATATATACACACCGATCAGCCAAAACATTAAAACCAGTGGTGGGTGAAGTGAGTAACATTGATCATTTTGTTACAATGCAGTGTTCTGCTGGGAGATCTTTGGTCATGGTATTCATGTGGATGCCACTTGACGCCCTCCACCCACCCAAACACTGCTGTGGGCTACGTAACCCCCCCTCACAGCAACAGTACTCCCTGATAGCAGTGGCCCCCCCAGCAGAAAAATGAGCCATGCCACACCACAGAAACTGCTCAGGAATGACCTGAGGAACGTGATGAAAAGCTCAAGGTATCAACCTGGCATCCAAATCTCCCACACCCCAATCTGACTGAGCATCTTGGGAAGTGCTGGTACCCCACCTCACAACTGACAGGTCTCAAATGATCCAAAGCCATGTGTCCATGCCTTGACATGTCAGAGACAAGTCCAATCCAGGGAGGCCCCACCATTGATTAGGGGTACCTCTGAGATCAGATTTGGACCCAGGGACTTTGGAGGCCAGGTTGTATAATCCGTATCATATTCAAGTGTTTTAAACAACACAAACTGGAGTTTTGATCCGGATGAAAAACAGGATTGGATTACCTGATCTTATCTGATCACGTAATCCTGTTTTTTCCTTTGAACAACCGCACTGGGTTTTGCAGCCTGGCCTTGATATGTCTCTGAGTGTGAGTAAAACCCAGATGACAATTTTAGAGTTAATGTTACACTCTACTTGCATCGATTGCGTAACAAGTCCTAATAAAAATGAAGCTGGCGACCTGCAGAACACATCTGAGGAATCAGATCTCGGGATAATTCACCAGGTGGGATGTAAAGTTTTTATCATATGTCCAAGGTAATATGCAATTTGATTTCACACACTTTTCCACCTTTGCTTTATTCACACAGAGATCAGTGAACAGACACGTGAGAACATGAAGACTGTGATTCTTGCTCTTGTGGTGTTGCTGGTTGTCAGCCAGGGTCAGTTCATGTACAGGAAACACTACAAACCTGCAAACATCAAGACTCTGCAGTTCATTGATAATACCTGTAAATGCATATTATGTTTCCAGTGTGTCTGTTGTGAGCAGATTTTAGAGCTAAAGGTGGTTTTAAAGGCTGCGTCACAGTAAAGTGATGTCATTTTCTGAACTTATCAGACTGTTCTAGCTGTTTTATTAATCACCTTTGCCCATTTAATCATCATATGCACATTACTGATGATTATTAGCAAATGTTTAATTGTGTAAATATTGCTAAAGCACCACTAGTCAACCCACAGTATTGTTGCAATATCCATGTCAAGGTATTTGGTCACACATTTTTTTCCTTATGGCCCAGCACTAGTTTGTAAACAATGGTTAAAGATGATTTTTCTTTGTCCAGGTGAAGCCTTGACGTGTTACTGTGGAGGCAGGAAACAGTGTTCAGAAAGTACAGAGACCTGCACTGGGTCAAATGAAGTCTGTGCCATCATCGTCTCTCGTGACAGTGAGTACAGGCTGTTCCTTCAGTGTGCTGTTCAGCTGAAGAACAATAAGAGAAAACATACATGGATCAGAACTGTTATTTCTTTGATAACTTGTATAAGTTGTCTAATAATCCATCCTGTCTTTTTGTCACAGATTACAGCTACTTCCAGAGCTGCTTAGATGGCAGTGACTGCAGGCGGCTCATTCAGTCATCAGATGCATTTGGCGTGTGCTGCGTGACCGATCTGTGCAACTGATACATGAATGTGCAAAATTGAAAAAGAAATCAGGCAACACATCTTTCTGTAATCATAATAATCTGCTGTCATGTGTTGTGTGCTTCTGCTTTTCATAATAAAGATCAATCAGTTGCAACCGTTCATTCACTTTTCCCATTAATAGAAAACCTTTATTCTAAGACAAATACAGACCTTTGAAGCGGAACAAATGACATCTTTATCATCTTTTTTTATACGTTATTTTCTAAGGAGGCATTTTTGCCTTACTTAGACAGTGTCACAGGGAGACTTGAGGAGACAGGAGAGATAAAGATGTTTTGACATGCAACAAAGGTGTCTGAACTTTGGATCCAGCACAATAATTTAAAACACGTGTGGGTGCAAGGGGTCTTAATTGTTTTCAAAAAGTTACAGTGGAGGGCTGCCCTGTAATTGAACTGCAGGTTGTGCTGTTAACAATTTTATATTAAGTATTATGCTTTTCTACTAACTACAACAGTCAGGTTATCTATTTATCTATTATTTTTTCCAAATCTTATTAAAAAAACACACTAGTATTTTCTCCTGGTGAATCAGTGGGGTCATGGTGGGTTTTGCAGCCTGGCCTTGATATGTCACTCCGAGTGTGAGTAAAACCCAGATGACAATTTTAGAGTTAATTTTACACTCTACTTGCATCGATTGCGTAACAATTGCCAATAAAAATGAAGCTGGTGACCTGCAGAACACATCTGAGGAATCAGATCTCCAGTGGGACAATTCACCAGGTGGGATATCTTTAAGATTTAAGATTTAATATTATGTGCATGATTTAAGTGCTCCCAAGAACACTACACTTTTCCACCTTTATTCTCACAGAGATCAGTGAACAGACACGTGAGAACATGAAGACTGTGATTCTTGCTCTTGTGGTGTTACTGGTTGTCAGCCAGGGTGAGTTCATGTACAGGAAACACAGACCTCACTATTATGTTGTTGTCTTTTCCTGTTCTTGTAGCATTACAGTGAAGTGGTTTACTTTTCTGAACTCACCAGACTGTTCTAGCTGTTTTATTATTCACCTTTACCCATTTAATTATTATATCCACATTACTGATGATTATTAGCAAANCTGAACTCACCAGACTGTTCTAGCTGTTTTATTATTCACCTTTACCCATTTAATTATTATATCCACATTACTGATGATTATTAGCAAATGTTTAATCATGTAAATATTTGTTTAAGCACCAGTGGTCAACCCACAATATCTTCTCTCACTTTTTAGTCAAAATATTGTGATATAATATTTCCTACATATCACCCAGCACTAGTTACATTTGAAAAATAATTTTTCTTTTCTTTATTCAGGTGAAGCCTTGAGGTGTTACTGTGGAGGTCGTACACAGTGTTCAGACCGTATACAGACCTGCTCTGGTTCAAATCAAGTCTGTGCCTACATCATCTTTCATCATGGTGAGCACACACTGCTCAGCTAAAAACAATAATAGAAAACATATGCTACATGCATCAATTCAGAGTCATGCTGTATTTAAAAACTTGTCTTTATCCATTATTTCACAGATTACAGCTACTTCCAGAGCTGCTACAATGAAGATGACTGCAGGCTGCTCAGTCAGTCACCAGTAACATCTGGCAGCTGCTGCAGCACTGATCTGTGCAACTGATAAATGGACCTGCAAAATTAAAAGAGAATTCAGGCAACACATCTTTTAGTAATAATAATAATCTGCTCTCATGTGTTGTTAACTTTTGCTTTGTGATAATAAAGATCAATCAGTTGCAACTATTTTTCTCGTTCGCATTTTCTGTTTTTTGACACCTTTATCGTCCTTTGTTATGTTATTTTTGGGGTGAGGCAACACAGCAGCACTCTATACTGTAGGTCTACAAAGAGAGGGTGACAGAGGCAAATTTTTATTTGTGGTACAAGGCAATGCAAATAAAACTGACTTGAGGAATTGACATTGACACGCCATCTGTATCATAAATATGTTGATGCATGTTACTGTGCTGGATTAGAGTTCTGGTATAATTTCCATCTGCAGTGGGGGGAGTGTTATAAGAAGCAGTGTGTGTGCATGGAGTGAGCGGTTGAGCAGGGGATACAAATGATGGTGGAGACAGCAGAGCTGAGCAGGAAAACAGGTCTACATCTAGCGGTAAAGTGGTCAGATTAACAGTAAATGTGCAGTGTAAGTGACAGTTTTTCTGTTAATAAAGTCTGCCGCTTCTCAAGGCCAAGTGGAGCTCCCATGTGTTGCTTTCCAGCTGCTGGTAAAGTGAAGGCAGTTAACCTTGAAGTTACTTCGGCCCTGGGGGTAAACAAATCTTCCCTGTGCTTTAGGACCATGGTCTGAGAGCTGAAGCAGGAACGGTTAAGATCATATTCCCAATATCTGCCTCCAAGCCTTCTTTTAGCATAGATGTATAATATTTAGGGCTATCAGCATAAATGCAATTATAGATGTGATTAAGGTCTGCACATAAAGTGTTATTTAAGACCTGAAGAAAAGTAGACTGTTGATTTTCATAACATATTTTGCAAAAAAATGTATACTTCTCTTATGGAAAAGTGAATCTTTGCCAACCTTCGACATGTTTTTGAACTCTATATCTCAACTCCTTCCTTTAGAAAAAATAACACTGGAGAGTTACAACCGAGGTCACTTATTTAATGACCTTTGGCAACCATTATATGCTCAACTGGAAAAATCTGATTCATGAATTCATTTAATCTGTCACTGCTCATGTATTAGCACTAACATTTTTTTATTTTTATTTTTTATTGTTTTTTATTGTTTTATTTTTATTTTACTTATTATTATTTCATAATGTGTTATTTAATCGCATGCTGCTATTTTGAGTGTAAGCTGCCATCTATGAGCTGAGCACACAGGTGTAGCTAATCAGACTGATGTCAGCAGGCAACCGCATCGCCAAATACGGCAAAGCACTATTTTCAAATCACCACAGACCCAATGATTCTCCAGAGACCCTGTGTCCTCATATGAGGACATCACATTTTGGGTTTACTTGACCTTATAGTTCATTCTATTTAACTCAGACCTGTTGTCCTCATTCGTGGACACTTTCTTGTGCCATCTAGTGGCAGTAAGAGCACAATACCCTCTCTCCATGTAAAAACAAGATGGTAGCCAACCATGTCGTCCGAAACCATGAAAAAAAGCCATAGTATAGCATGTCGTCCGAAATCATGAAAAAACATCATAGTATAGCATGTGGTCTGAAATCGTCAAAAAATGTCATAGTTTAGCATGTCGTCCAAAATCATGACAAAACATCATAATATAGCATGTCGTCCGAAACCATGACAAAACGTCATGCCATCCAAATTCATGAAAAAAACCATCATAATATAGCATGTCGTCCGAAATCATGAAAAAACATCATAGTATAGCATGTGGTCTGAAATCGTCAAAAAATGTCATAGTATAAAATGTCATAGAATAGCATATCGTCCAAAACCGTGAAAAAAAGCCATAGTATAGTATGTCATCCAAAATCATCAGAAAAAGTCATAGTATAGTATGTCCGTCTGCAGCTGACCCCAACACAAAAGCGGACAAGGTCCAAAACCTGATCACATTTTATGGTTGAAGCTTGTTTATTTATGATTAATGGTGTTTGTAATTTGATATGCAATACAAGTTTGACCAATTTTACCAACACTAACAAGCTAAGACACTGTTAATTTGAAAGTACTCGTATGAAGACACTGGGACTTTACTATCGTCTTGTTTGAGGGCATTGGGACTTAATAATCATAGACAATGTTTAGTTTTTTATACCTATTGGCTCCTACTGATCCCAAATAGCTAGGAGAAATTAAAAATGTATACCAAACAAAAGTCGGGGTCTCAGGAGGATATCAAAGAAGTTAACTACAGTGCTGCTAAATGGGTGGAAACTCACTCCAGACCTGCATTTTAAATCCTGTGTGTGATTAATCCTGACTTCATATGGATAGAGAAAAACTCCGCTAGCTGCTAGGCTAATTTATGCAATGTAAAATATCATAGGCTTGTGCTAATATTGTTAGTATGTTGTATTTGTGGGAAAAAACACGTCTAATATAAGTGAAACTTGTGAACTGTAATTGAACCTAACTTTGTTACATAACCTTTGTTAAATGTTGTTGTTCCTGGCTTCATATGAGTAGAGAAAAAGTTTGCTAGCTGCTAGGATAACGTATACAATGTAAAATGCCATATGTTTTTGTTAATAATGTTAGCATGTTGTATTTGTGGGGAAAATGTCAAGCAAAAGACAAGTATTTTGTCTGTGAATGTTGTGAGTTATATTGGAGCTGATTTGCGTACTTGTGTTTGAAATTGTCGCTTTTAAGCCATGTTTAATGTGTGTTTTATGTGTGTTTTGAATCAGTCTAACTTCATAGCACCTCATAGACACTCCACCCCAACTGGATGAGCTGAGCAAAAAGAGCAGTTTATTCTATATCATTCATAAATATCTTGAGATTTCTTTTTCAGGGAAAAACCTCTCTAAATGTATTTGTTACAAAATATTTATGGGACAATGACCAAACTGATGTTGAGGTTGACTGATGTTGTGTTGCAGTTTCCCTCTGTGACAACTGGAGGGCAGTAAAGATTCAGTTCAGCTGAAGGTCTGACCCACACTCGTCTCTGTCAGCCTTTCACTGTCACAAAGCACAACTCATATCAAACTGGTTTCTTGAACATGACAATGAGTTCACTGTACTCCAATGGCCTCCACAGTCACCAACCACCATTTTAATAACTCGGCATCAGAGCTAACAGGATGTGAGTACTTCTGTGACTTCCTCTACAGACTAAAGGCTGCAAAAACCTGTTGGGGAACTGTGTCCGACTTCACCGTGGCTCTGTCACCTCCTCCTGCAGCCGCCTGATCTCATCCACTTCCCAGGCGAGCCCAGTGAGTTGGCTTCTTGGCTCAGCCTCTGACGTCCCACTCTCCGGCCATCTGATTGGCTGTCACACTGCATCACATGACGGACGAATCCAGGAAGTATTTTGGTTACACAAGGCGGAAGCGTATATTTTACTGAACCTGAAAGTGTTTTAGGAGAAAACGTTGCGAAAGAGGACCAATACGGTTATAACTTACTATCCACAGGGCGGAGTGGATATTGTTTGCCGTTCTTGGTAAGAACACCAGCGTGTTTATTGTTTCATTACGGTGGTTTTGCTTGTTAGCCGAGGTTAGCATTGCTAGCGAGCGTTAGCCTCGCAGCTAATTCACAGCTTGGTTTGTTTTTATCTGGTTATTCGGTCAAAGTTAACGCCGGCAGGTGTTGTGGTGTAATCAGTTCAACTGGAGGTTGGTAATGTCATCTTTTAAACTTAAAGAAATATATATTTGCTGGACTCATTTCATTAGAGTGTGATATTGACTCCAAAATATGTCGATGTAATATAATAAAAACAGTTTCCAGTCAGTTATGATAAACCTTTAAACCCATTTAAGTAACTGATCTTTCATAAACTAGTTATTCCCGTTTTCTATCTGTGCACAGTCAGCGTTGTGTGGGGACTTGACCATCTAACTCGTAGCTGTTAACGTTTTAAAACATTTTTACTAATAGGCAGTGGTGAAAAGTATATTTATCTAAGTACTTAAGTGCTTTTACTTGACTTGAGTATTTCTATTTTCTGCTGCTTTATACTTAGACTTCACTACATTTCAGAGGAAAATTCCACCACATGTATCTGACAGCTTTAGTTACTGCAAAGCAAAATATAATAAGACAATAAATTCTTACATTTATCTGATAAATTATGATTCAAGACTTTTACTTGTGAGTATTTTAACACTATGCTACTGCTACTTTTACTTAAGAAAACGGATATTATCCACCACTGCTTGTAGGGTTAGGTATTACGATATGTGACTGACGACAGCTTTCATGAAAAGTGACATTTAAATTTCAACAAGGAAATAAAAATAAACAGGGCTGCAGACAACTAATATCTTATTTAAGTTCAGTTCAATTTTATTTATAAAGCATAATATCACAAATCACATTTTGCCTCAGACAGCATCCCTCTGTGCTTCGACCCTCACAGCGGATAAGGAAAAACTCCCCAAAAAAGCCTCTTTAACAGGAAAAAAAGGGGTAGAAACCTCAGGAAGAGCAACTGAGGAGGGATCCCTCTTCCAGGACAGACAGACGTGCAATAGATGTCGTACAGAACAGATCAACATGATAAATTAACAGTAATCCATATGACACAATGAGACCGAAAGAGAGAGAGAGAGAGATGCAGGACAGACAGTAATGACAATAGCTACAATAACATTGATTGTAGTAACAGTATTATAGTAATTGTATTTTGGTAGCATATATGTGATAAGTAAACATTAGTATATGACAGTATATGT